ATTATTTTATACGTTGTCATAGATCAGGGAATGGTTCGATTTACGTGTGGTGTAGAGTCTGATATTCACAAATAATCTACAGTAACCATCATCACACGCTATTGCATCGAAAGTACAACTGAATGCCGAGCGGCATCATCTGCGTGCATATGTGAACACATATGCACAACGAAGACTTACCACAATCGGCTCCGTTCGCTCCACCTCATCTGCCGGTTCTGATACCTCATCCGCGATTATCTGTTCAGTGTCAGTCTGTCCAGAAGTGGGAGAAAATAAACGAAAATAGGGTAAGCACACAGAAATCGATGGAACACAAGATATGAAGCCAGCTGAAAGTATGGCAATATTTCCTCAAAGAGTTGACAAGCTCTACCAGATGTCATCGGTGTATGTGAATGTTCGTGTCAAAGACGACCGCGTCTGAGCCCACCGGTTGGTCCACAAGAGAGAACCAAGTGGGTGATGCTCACCGCTGTGCGAGAGGTCAGTACACCCGGAATCGATATCCATGCAAAACAGCATACAGAAACAGACACACACACACGATCGCTATAGACTCACCTCAGTCGGACGGACCGCCTCATCTGACTCGCTGGTTCCGTTGACATCTTCCGGTTCATTTAGTACCTGTTCAACGTTAATTAAAGAAATTTAAAAGACAGGTATTATATTGTGTGATATTCATGGAACGGTTGAGATTTCCATGTGGTTTATAGTCCGATGTTGGTACATAATATCGAATTTCATATCCTTGGTTTGGCCCAGGTTGATCGTATACTGTTTATTTGACAAAGAAAGAAAAACACGAGGTCTCCTGGACCATTCATTAAATACGCTATCTAACGTTGGACTCTAATCTTTCGGAAAGCCTGTTACGCATACATTTTTACCATTTTTGTTACCAATGTTGATGGAAGTCCTAGAGCCTAGTTGTCGAGGTTCAACCATGGATTCCATAATCAAACAGCATATTATGTATGTGGTCAAAAGACCTTAGATAGCACGTTTGGGAACAGCTCTATTTTAAATCCCAGGAAGTACATTTAATCAATCCAACTTGCTTGAAAACCATGGATGATGCTCTGGCACAGTATGTGGAATATCCAATGTCCTCCGGTACCATGACACTCCAGTCTCATTCAACAGTGGCATACGGTCTTATTTCATTCCCAAGACCGTAGGAGACAAGTGCGTACTTTGAAACGCTGAATTCAACGTGATTGGCGATTGATTAACGATGAGTTGCAATGATCCTTCCTTGTGATGCCAAGTAGTCCTCTGAACTTGTTACTGATCTGCAGATTTTAGCGTCATCCGTAAGCAGTAGTAGTGGAGAAAGACGTGGACGCAGCACGGATCCTTGCCCAATTCCCCAGGGAGCGGCTTTAGGTCAAGATAATGAATCACAAACACGAGCTGACATGATTCTTTGTCAGAGAAACTCCCTAATACAGTCGAAAAACCGAACCTCCTACTTCTTTATTTTAGAGATTTTGCAGGATAATTTGATGCTTTACTCGAATGAGTGCTCTGATGAATTCTAAATAAATTACGCTCCATTTCTATGGATCTTGTCCACTCATCTCGTGTAAGAAGTAGGATTGTGGTGCCCGAACGTTTGTGTCGAAATCCGTGCTGGGCTCGAGATAAAATTCTCTGCTTCTCCATATAATCCAACAACATATCTTCCACGACTTTTGGCAGTAACGGAAGAAATGTGGTAGGGTGATATTTCGCGGGATCATTGCTAGAGCCCCCTATGTAAATGGATGAAACGATCCCTTCATTCCATGACTGCAGATTTGCCGACCTGTTAAGCACTCCATGGTAAATCACAACTAGAATTTCGGATATATCAATGGCTAGTGATACGCGAGTCCGAGGATACATGTTATCCACACCTGGGGATGGATTTTTACTCAAAGTAAAGAGTTTTACTTCTGCCATTTTACCATCACTAGCCCTATCAGCCAGGGGTGGACATGGTACACCGCCGATTATGTTTAAAATCTGTAATCTGTTTTGTGTGCTGTTCCAATAAACACCTGATTCAACTGGTTTTCGAGGATCTTTGCTGTTTCTAATTTAATAGTTCCAACAAGTTCGGACGATTTCAATGTTGGCATTCCGCATTTCACCATTCCTTGTAAAGTTGATATGTTCATAAAGTCGCTTTGGATTGGAAGTTAATTTTTGAGCCAAGGTTTCTTGGCAAATCAGCTTGTCCTCAAGCACAAACTTGATGCATTCATTTTGCTGTGAGGTATAATTATTCAAAGTTTCGATAGGAGGACATCTTCGCTATACCAACTTTGAGAAGTCATTGCTTTCTTTGTTCGACTGCGAATGGGCAATTGCCCAGTTTTAGCTTTAACACAGGTTTTGATACTTGTCTCGGCTGTTTGGACGGAACAGAAAGAACCCTGCAGGTCATGCATGCATCCGCATCACACCACAAGCGTGCACACACGCTCGTGACGCACAGGACTAGCGGAGTTCGGACTGGATGACTGCATAACGAGTCAGCCAGCGCTTGGTTGATCGACCAGACGAAATGTCAGGGCCGTAATATATGTATATATATGCATATATATAACACCTTCTTGATAATATGCATGGTGCCAATGCCACGACAATAACAACAAGCCCTTATCACTCTGGCAAGTCACATGGCCGATTCTTTAAGTGAGCTATACCAATAACTGTTTGAAGATACCGTGCTTCTTCAGGTGTGGAAAAACGGTGTCATTTCACCAATGCCGCAGTGACCCAGCCAACTACCGACCCGTCACTCTCCTTCCATTGTTGTCCAAAGCCATGGAATCCATTGTTGCAGATTCTGTAATGGATCATCTGGAGAATAATGACTTACTATCTCCAGCCCAGCACGGGTTTAAAAAAGGTTGTTCATGTGCAACTAACTTGATTTTGGCTCGGGACGATTGGACTCAAACTGTAGACCAAGGCAAAGGGGTAGACGTTATTTACCTGGATTTCTCTAGAGCATTTGATACAGTAAATCATCAAATACTGATACGGAAGCTGTATAACTATGGGATCCGTGGACTCGTACTTGGCTGGATTGAGGAGTTTCTTCGCACACGTACCATGTCAGTTCGTGTTTCCAATTCACTTTCTGATCGAATAGATGTCAACCGTGGGGTTCCACGGGGATCTGTGCTAGGCCCACGTCTTTTCCTTGCCTTTATATACGATCTTCCAGACTTCCTTGGACAACAAACTTTACTGTTTGCAGACAGTGCCAAAATATGGAGGACAATAACAAAACCAGAAGATTCATTTGATCTCCAGAACGCCCTTGACGAAGCCCACAGATGACCTGTTTCCAATGATATGGAATTCAACGTTATCAAATGTAAAGTCTTGTTACTCCGTTATAATGGTCGTTTTTACCATACTCTCGGACACGAAACTCTGCCTCATGCTCCACTGAAGAAGGATCTAAGGGTAATCATCCGCGTGGACTTGAGTTGCTCCACAAACTGTTCCAGGGCATAATCCATGGCGGTAAACACAGGTTGGACTGCTCAAAAGTGTTTTTCGATCGTTTAAGCCGCCTTTATTTCTACGAATGCTGGCCATATATATCCGTCCATACACCGAGTACTCAGTTCAGGAACCCATGGCTGCAGCCAGATCGGAAGGCACTCCAACATTCACAGAGAATGGCTACCAAGATGGTCAAAGGTCTACATTCCAAGACCTGTGGCGAAAGATTACAACTATTGGGGCTACACTCGTCTCAATATCGTCAAATCAGAGACGATTTGATCTTATTGTATCGGATTTCCCAACAGACCAACCATCCATGTAGATTTCTTTTGGTTCTATCAACCATGTTCATCTCAGAGGGCATCCACTGAAGTTGGCATTCCAAAAGAGCCGTCTCGACTGCAGGTGCTATTCGTTTGCAATCAGAGTGTGCGACACATGGAACTCTCTACCACCTCACGTGGTCTGTGTGGTCTTTCAAGCTTCAGGTAATGATGACAGAATATAGAGAAAAAGACTGTTAGAATGGATAATTACGAATAAAAAGGATAAAAAATATGTGTTTCACCATACACGTTTTAATATTTTTTGTGTTGTTTGTTGTTTGTACGGGGCATGGGATTTCAAAAGATAGACCGTCCAGCATTCGCTCTACTGACTTCTTTCTATTATGGGCGATATCTCACAGCTTCCCTAAACAACGACAATCGTCATTCCTTGATCCTTAATCTGGAATGCAGGCTGCACCAACCGAAGCCAAAGCTGAAGCTAGCTTCTTCATACCCCTACACCATGTCATGATCTGATCGCCGTGCGGATTCTTCCAGCCTTGCTCGGCACGTGCGAAGAGAGCACGGAAAGGTAGTCGATGGGCAGGCACACGCAATACGTGACCAAACCATCGGAGGCGGTGTAGAGCGATTACTTCTGTAAGAGAACGACTATCCACACGCAACACACGACGACGGACCTTGTCATTACTCACCCGGTGTTCCAACAAGACACGAGCGATGCTTCGGAGACATCGGTGGTCAAATACAGAAAGTCGATTAGCATCCTCCTCTCGGAGAGGCCAGGTCTCGCAACCGTAAAGCAGCACACTACGAACTACGGCGATGTACACCTTACCCTTAAGGGACAGTCGGATGTCATGGCGGCGTCACAGATGTCGCGAAAGCTGCTCTAGCCTTCTCTATTCGTGATGTGATCTCTTCTCCAACACCACCATCAGCTGCGATCAAGCTCCCGAGGTACTTAAAGTTCTCAACTACTTCTAGCTGATCACCACAGAGGGTGAGTGTAGACACAGGCTCCTTCCAGTCTTGTACTTGCAGTCTGACTGGTAAATCACTGTATCGCTCTCAAATGGAAATCCACTCTCAATGTGTGCATGCTTGATGTCTCACGCTTCTGGCAGTATTGTGAAAGGAGTGAATGTTTTTGCTGAAAGATTGTACAGAAATCGTTAAAGTTTGAGTANACAATAGCAAAGATTAACATGCGCGTGTATATATGTCAACTTAGATGCACCTTGATTCACTTACTGCAACCGTCCCTGTTTGCTCCACCTCATTAGTTCGGTCTGGTACAAAATCGGCGACTATCTGTTCAGTGTCAGTCTGTCCAGAAGTGGGAGAAAATAAACGAAAATAGGGTTAGCACACAGAAAACGATCGAACACAATATAGAAGTCCATCATTTCGGCTGACGGTTTTCCAATATTTGAGCAAAGATACTGTAAGAGCCTCAGTGCTTGATCAGAAACACGTCTAACACTACCACAGTCGGTGGTGTATCTGAACGCTCATGTACCGGATAACTGGGTTCGAGCCAACCAATTGGTCCGTTTATGATCATCAGCCTGATGACGTTCGCCGCAGTAACGCATACACACACACACACAAACACAATCGCGACAAACTCAACTCTGTCTGATGGCCCCTCGCTTCGGACTCGGTCGCCTTATCGACATCTTTCGGACCATCGAAATCCTGGTCTACAGTAATTGAATACATATGGCATTATTTTATACGTTGTCATAGATCAGGGAATGGTTCGATTTACGTGTGGTGTAGAGTCTGATATTCACAAATAATCTACAGTAACCATCATCACACGCTATTGCATCGAAAGTACAACTGAATGCCGAGCGGCATCATCTGCGTGCATATGTGAACACATATGCACAAAGAAGACTTACCACAATCGGCTCCGTTCGCTCCACCTCATCTGCCGGTTCTGATACCTCATCCGCGACTATCTGTTCAGTGTCAGTCTGTCCAGAAGTGGGAGAAAATAAACGAAAACAGGGTTAGCACACAGAAAACGATGGAACACAATATTCATGTCTATCAATTCAATTGACAATACTGCAATATTTGATCAAAGATACGGCAAGAGCGACCACAGTCGAAGGTTTATCGGAATTCTCGTGTGAAAAGATAACCTGGTTTGACCCCACCTACTGGTCCACATGGGAGAATCCATTCGATGATGATCGGTGGGACAGGAGAGATCAGCAAAATCGGAATCGATAAGCCGACAGAAATTCGAAACATTAGGTCCTCTTTATTCAATTCGTTAGACCCGAGAGAAAACAAATGCTGCGAGATGTTAACAGTTCTTTTAATCTCTTCAGTCGTTACAACGTAAAACAATCTGGTATTTATATACAAGCAAATTTTGATAACTACGGTGGTAAAACGGACTGTAGTCAGGGAATCGGGGGAGAGGGTGGGGTGGGAAATCAAGTCCATGGCAGTCTGACTGATTGTGAACAGTGATGTGGTTAGACCCATTTGGGGTGTGATAGATCAACTCTATAAAATGTTCCGTGACTACTGCATTTCATGGTATTATATTACCATATTGATCACCGGATACCACATTCCAGTGCATTTCTAAAATTCACAGTCTGAAATTTTGATGGTTTTGTTGAACTGAGCTATGTGAGTTGATTTATCCCTCCGAATGGATCATATGATTGCCAATGCCAGGTCGTTAGTATCTGACTCGCGGGAGTGCTCTCAATCAATCGTGTGACTAAGTCAAATAACATTTTTCACTGATGAGGCAGAAATCCATACTTAGAGCTCGGCAGGTTTTGTCCGCATTTGCAAACCAACACGTGGAGTGTTTTGTCACATTCAATTCCATGTGTTTCTCCAGTTTTTCTTGATTGCTCTATCCCAAATTGTGACAGCCCTCCCCCCCATCCGGGCCCGTTCATTGCAGCAACAGTCTCATCAATCAGTTCCCTAAATTTAGAAGAGCCCTTCTGGTATTTCACTTGTCTTATGAATTCCGTCTGACCTGGAACCCATCAGTCATCATCTGAGAAATCGTTTACGGCCCATTCAGTGGCCCTTGGAATTGGTTACCATTGAACCGCTCATTTAGCCACGTATTCTTGATCACGTGCTGTCAGATCACAGTGCGATTTGAACTTTTTTCGCCGAAACTCGACCTGGGGTATGCTTTTCTGTACCTGAGTAATACGTTCTGAGTAAGAGTGAATAATTTTGACCTGGGGTCAAACGATAAGACCGGAAGGATTGATTGTTCACGCTATGCGCTAAAGTTCCATGCGAAAGCCTGAATTCTCCCCGTGCAAAATCATTGTGAGCACGTACTTTAGAGCATACGACAAGAAGCCTACATCAAACATGAGGAGATGAATCAGAACAGCATGCACATTCCCGATTGCAGATTGATCGACCGTTGAAACGGTTCAGTCAGTGATGAACTCAATCTTCGTGTGGGCGACAAAACAAGGCAAAAGTGAACAAGAACCCTCAAAATAGTGTACATTGTCTGATCAATCATTCACCACGTTTCTACATATGCATCCAATGGAATGCAGTTTGCATACACCGCTTCGCTGCCCTGTACGACAAGCTCCGGGTGGCCAACAGTTTGATTGTGATTTCCCCAGAAATTTGGATGAACAAGGAGTATGACTTAAAAGAGTTCAAAGGTAAATTATTCTACAGAAACCATCAATACAAGCTATTGCATCGAAAGCACAACACAATGCTGAGCAGCATCATCTGCGTGCATATGTGAACACAGCTTCCATTGATATCGTATACCCAAGGATTTCGTTTAGACAATCGAAACCAGAAACAGCCGAACCATTTTGCTTCACATATCGTCTACCAGTTCACTTGCAGTTGCGGATGTCAGAACACATTCCCAAATGGTTGGTACAATCGATGACGCAACAAAGTCTCAGAGTTCAAACCGATAAGAGAAATCCAGGGTCATCAATCGCAAAACATCTCATGGCAACTGGACACATCGTTGACCCACAAATGTCGTTCACGCTTTTATTACGTGTGTATATGTGTTCACATATGCACACAGATGATGCCGCTCGGCATTCAGTTGTACTTTCGATGCAATAGCGTGTGATGATGGTTACTGTAGATTATTTGTGAATATCAGACTCTACACCACACGTAAATCGAACCATTCCCTGATCTATGACAACGTATAAAATAATGCCATATGTATTCAATTACTGTTGACCAGGATTTCGATGGTCCGAAAGATGTCTATAAGGCGACCGAGTCCGAAGCGAGGGGCCATCAGACAGAGTTGATTTTGTCGCGATTGTGTTTGTGTGTGTGTGTGTGTGTGTGTGTATGCCTTACTGCGGCGAACGTCATCAGATTGATGATCATAAACGGACCAATTGGTTGGCTCGAACCCAGTTATCCGGTACATGAGCATTCAGATACACCACCGACTGTGGTAGTGTNCTTGATCACGTGCTGTCAGATCACAGTGCGATTTGAACTTTTTTCGCCGAAACTCGACCTGGGGTATACCATTTCTGTACCTGAGCAATACGTTCTGAGTAAGAGTGAATAATTTTGACCTGGGGTCAAACGATAAGACCGGAAGGATTGATTGTTCACGCTATGCGCTAAAGTTCCATGCGAAAGCCTGAATTCTCCCCGTGCAAAATCATTGTGAGCACGTACTTTAGAGCATACGACAAGAAGCCTACATCAAACATGAGGAGATGAATCAGAACAGCATGCACATTCCCGATTGCAGATTGATCGACCGTTGAAATGGTTCAGTCAGTGATGAACTCAATCTTCGTGTGGGCGACAAAACAAGGCAAAAGTGAACAAGAACCCTCAAAATAGTGTACATTGTCTGATCAATCATTCACCACGTTGCTACATATGCTTGCGAAATAAAGGCGGTGAGCGCGAATAACGCAGAGAAAAAAGGAAAGCTTCGATTCAGGCCTCACCCATATATGGCTATAATCAAGCGGTAGGAATGAAGTTCCCGTTAGCCAACATTATGACTAGAGAACTAGACCACACAGGTAAGAATTGATCACGAAAAAAGGTTTGAAAAGAAAACCGTTTTGCAATGGCGACCCAGAACAATCCAAAGCCATGAATCCCATCAGGATTACTAGAATGCAGTCGATACCGCAAACGCTGTTGTCAAGGAAGAGCGACGACGTGACAAAGATCTACGATTGTGTTAAGGAACAAAATGCTTCTAAAAATCTCTCTGCATAGTCAAGGGAGTGAGTGTCTCGAATCGTGGCTGCACATTGTTTCATTAACCTTCGCTAATTGCCCCTATACGAACATGCGTCTCAATCACATTCCAATGAGGAAGCTCTGGTCACTCACCGCTTTGGACGTAGGGTTTTCCGCTAAAAATCGGTGGAGAAAATCCAACATCCGAGGCGGTGTAACAATGTCAATTCACCTGAGGGAGTCGCTTGAAAATCTTAATTTCAAACCAATCAATAACGGGATCCGGAATACCAGCCAACCACCTTGTGGCAAGAGGTCACCGACAGAACTAGGCATCCAGTAGCACTGAGCACAATGGACATCTCACGTCATCCAAAAAGTTGT